GTTGCTGATATCCTGATAAACATTTTACTAGTTAACCACTTTTTGATATCTTTCAAAAGAAGTGAGATATATAGGCTCAAAGTGGACGATCCGGGTGTCGTTCTATTAGAGGTTTTACGGTAACTACCTTTTTGTCGAGGTAATGATTAAGAGTTCTTTATACTTCTAAATACCCATGATTTCATTTTAGTATGTTGCAACTTCTCCTACCATTCACACTACAGTACCACTGCTAATAAATTACTTGACAGTTAATTTTCACATCGGGGACGAGTACCTTCCAAATTTTTTCAAACAGTTGGGACAGTCAAAAATACGAAATTTTGACTTCATTTCGGAAACATCGCCTGGTTTTATGAATAACGAGGAGCTTCTTCAAACAGTTTTGAAAGACATGACGGTAAGTCTTTAATCTGAATATATTAATTTGAAATTGCTCCCTATTATAGATCCTCAAAGTGGAAAATGTCAGAGTTTTTGCGCACATGGTGCCAACTGCGTCTTTGCGAAGATTTTGGACCATGAAAGCCCAGACAATGGAACTTCGGGACGAATTCACAAGTGGGCCACGATTCTTACAGGTCTGTGAAGGCTTGAGATCGGGAGAAGTATCATTCGACCGGTTCCAATATACTGGATATCTCCGAATTGCTGGAGATCAATTCGATGTTTTTTGGGATCAAATGCAAGAGCGAGTGGGATTTGGAATTGATGACGAAGTCAGAGTGAATAGGTAACTTTGAACCATATTTCTAAATTTTTTGTTAGAGTAATTTTGACTGTTTTCAGGAACTCTATTCATTTCATAACAAGCGATGGTAATCTTATAATCAAATTGAGCATCAAAAAACTGCTGTTCCCCTCCAATTGCTATCAGCTTTCCGTAAACATGGAAAGAGAAGTTGATGTGAGTTTATTTTTCTAAAACGCACTAAGCTATTATGCTGGGTTGAAAAATTGGAGCTGTGGAAGAGAAAACCTGGTGGCCGAGGCCACGGCCGAACTACCGTTTTCAGTGAAAATATGAGAAGCAATAGCAATCAAGATAAAAGGACTTAAAATTTTAGATAACGGTGGTTTTCATTAGGCGGGCCGTTGGCCAAGCCCACAAGATTTCTTCTTCCTCAGCTCCGATTGTTTTTTGTACCAGAACAATTTTTCTGTTATTTTTCAGAACTCCTGGAAATTCCAACTACCAGCAACTGTGAGCTGTTTTCTTCCAAAGATTAAAAGAACTATAAATCATCTATTTTATCTCAATCTTTTACAGATTAGCATTGTTTTACCTTTGATAACCTTCCCTATTATTTTTCTTTTTTTAATGTGAAAATCGCTTTCTTTATCATGTTATTCCTTCTCATGGCACTTCACGCTATGTGTGTCGCTGCTTTTCCAGTTACTATGATGCTCGTTCTTGACGCCTGGCATTGATTACCTATGGATTTGATTATTAATTGAGAAAGTAAACGTATTTGGTATACCTTTCTTATATTTATTCAGTACATAGAACCTAGTGTGTTACGTGGTATGAAAAGTGTGTTATGAAAAGCTAGATCAGCAAAGTCGCTTTAGGATATCATTTCATTGAAAAGTATAATTGAATACAAAAAATGAAGTTACCGTACTTGCTCTAATAGAAGACCACAATATATGTGAATTTTGAGCTCAATTATCTCGATTCCTTCAAACGATGTCAAAAATCTGTCAACTAAAAAAAATGTTTGTGATATGATAAACAACATTACCTGACAACGTTTTTGATATTTTTCGAAGGAACCGAGATGATTGAGCTCAACTTACACTTATAGTGTGATTTCTATGAGATCCAATATGCTAGCCATCTCCAAAATATGTTGGATCACGTTCTACAATTTGGAGACTCTCAAAATGAGACTCCCAATAAGGTCTTGTTGTCTCAACGCTTCAAAAACGGAGATGGCAATATAATCAAACTGTGTTCTATGAAGCTTTGATTCCCAGGGAGTTGTTATCTTCTTTCCTCTCAAATTGGTTATTTAGAAAATGAGGTTCGTTTCGTGCTTTTTAATTGTATAGCTTTGTAACTTGCAGAATATCAAAATGATGCCAGTGATTCTAGTTTGCCTCGTCCCCAAATTGAAGAAGAGTGTCAGGTGTCATCTAGCATTAAACACCCTACATATGAGCTTATTGATACCTACAGTTGTGTTCCCCGCCATTTATCTAAGTTTTGACAAAAGGACCTCTTTTAATTTAATCGTTTTCTAAACTTGCTTTTTGGCGTCAGCATATATCACAAGAATGTGAATTGAGGTAGAGATTATAATTCGGAACTGGATATAATAAAGAGTGATTATGTTTGGAGTCAATGAACTTTTTCAAAAGAATAGCCGTTTTCTTTTCTTTTTCTCGGAAACTGATTTTCCATTGCGAAATCACCCAATTACGGCAAATATTAATCTGCTTTGATATTATCTGCTATTTACTCGTCTGCTATTTTAGCTCATCTGCTATAGCTGGATCATCTGCTATATTTGTCTTTTGTGCTATAAGGAAGATCATCTGATGTACTATAGGCTTAGACTAGAATGTTATTCTTTCCAAACTTTACCCTTATTTCCAAACTTTACCCTCTTTTCAAACTTTACCCTAAGCCTTTAATTGAAAACAAAAAGCATATTCTGAAAAAAATTCAGCAAAAAAGGTGAAGATGAGGAAACCGTAGCAGATGATCTATAGTAGACGAACCAATATAGCAGATGATCCAGGTGAGCGAAAATAGCAGACGAGTTAATAGCAGATAATATCAAAGCGGATGAGTATTTGCCCCCAATTACAGCAACGATATTGTTCGATTTATACACAGGTTACGATCTGCAAATATACGCAATGCGACGTGCAGACACGGCCCTCTACCGTAGTCCGCTCCGAAATTTTTTAAGCTGATTTTTTCTATTTATTTCCATTTCTTTTCACGCGCTGGAACGCTAATCGACTACTACTATTTCTAACTTTTTGTATTGCGATCACGTCTTTTTCTGATTGCGGATTACCCTGCGAGTCAAGTAAGCTCAGAAATACGTTAAAAATAGTGAAAAAAAACAACAGTTTCAGAAGCCGTGTAAACACTTGAATAACTGGCCGAACAGCTTCGCTAAAAAATAATGTCAGCCAATTCATCACTCAGTCAAGTCGAACCCGAGACGGATTCTTCATCGATTTACGATCTGACGTCTTCTTTGGAGCATCGGAAGAAAGTTGACGACGAATTTCAGTTGGTGTTTCGAAAAGCGCAAGACGCGATTAACAAAGGAATTCAGCCGAGTTTGATTCCCGAAGGGAGTTCTGGATCTTATTTTGTGTACGGATTAGAAGGAGAAATTCTGGGAGTTTTCAAACCGAAAGACGAAGAACCATTCGCCTCTCTCAATCCAAAATGGCCAAAGTTTTTTCAGAGGTAAGCATTTTTAAGTAATAGAATTAGGACTCATCAAATCACATTTTACAGAATGCTATGCTTCTGCTGCTTCGGACGTGCCTGTCTCATTCCAAACACCGGATATTTATCTGAAGCGGCGGCAAGTATAGTGAGTGAAATGCTCCAACTGGATGTTGTGCCGACGACTCGAATCGTGAAGCTTGCGTCTCCTTCATTCTTCTATTCTCGATTTTTCGGCCACTACGACGTTCGCCCCAAAGAAGGAAGCTTTCAGCTCTACGTAAATGGATACGAAAGTGGAAACACAGTGTTTGCACGTTGGAATTATGACAAGAATCTGTTGAGTGAAGAAGAAGAGGCAAAGTGTGAAATATAAATATCACCACGAAAGCAAATTTTGAAAAAGTGTTTCAGGTTTCAACTTCTCTTCCAGAAGATGTGCATCGTTGATTATGTGATCCGAAACACCGACCGTCACATGGATAATCTTCTCGTTCGCCACGTGCCCGGACATGAAATCAACTTGGCTGCTATTGATAACGGATTGGCGTTCCCAGTTCGGCATCCGGAATGTACTTCGAGATTCCGCTCTTTCCCTTTCCGTTGGTCGAATCTTCCATGGGCGCAAGCTGAATTCGATCAGACGCTCCGTCGCCACGTACTCTCACTTCTCACACCTCAGTTTGTTCATCGGCTTTGTGTCGATTTGAAGGTATTTTTCAGTTGCATGTTGTGAAAACTCTTCTTTTCAGAAACTATTCCGCCACGGAATCGCCAGTTCTAACTATATGCTCGTCAACAGCCAACTTCGCGTTGTTCGTGGTCAAATTTGGAATCTCCGACAGGCACTCATAGCCAACGAATCTCCTTGTGATATGGCTCGCCGCGATCCGATCATCGTGAGTCGGAGGTAAGATTTATTGTGTGCAACCCCAGAATTGAAATGCTATATACCCATTTTCAGTTCAGACATCGAAATGCGCAACCCACCACCGCATCGTGGGATGATTGGTTTATTGTCAAGTCGCCTAGCTACTCCAACCAGCAACTATGCTGAAGTCACCACTACAAAGACGGCTATCGAATTTGTAGAAGAACCGAAAAAAGTACCAGAAGACGACAATCTACTGATTAACTTTTAGTACTTATGCATGCACACCGAATAAACATTAAATTAGTTTTATTTTCATATCGACTAGTCTTGATTGGCATGGAAATATGATGAGTTAAGAGGAACAGCGAAATTAGATTTTTAAAAATACGATTTTACCAGAGATGAGCGGAATTCCTTATTCTTGGTTTTTTCTTATTCTTCCGGAAAACTTGAGCAATTTTTTTTTTGAGTTTTTAATTTTGTATCAGTATTAAATTTTTTTGAGTTTTTAATTTTGTTTAAGCCTAAAAACGGCTCCGAGAAATTCTTCGAGGATTTTCTCAAAAAAATTCGAGAAAACTTATCAACATTTTTCAAAACGAGTACATTGTGACATACTGGCCTAACTTTTGCAATGTGGGGTTTCTAGGCCACCAGCTTTTTTTGGCCTAGAAATGACCTGATATTCCCCTGGTGTACTTCCTAGGTCACTTTACATTGTGGCCTAATTTTTGCAAGTTAGGTTTTCTAGGCCACCTTTTTTGGCCTAGAAAAAGCCTGCCATTGATGTTTCATTTAGAATGGGCATTGGCAGTCATCAATTATCATAATTTGACTAATTGGTATATCGTTTACATATCTAACACCTGCTCATCACTTTATTTGTCGAATATCTGAATGTTGGTAAATATTAAACCATGGAAAAATCAGGTGTTTGCCAGCTTCCAATGAAACCTCACTATTTTTTAAATTCCATACAATTTAACTCCACTTTCATTCATTTCGTCGGAAGTCCATCAAAGGGTATGCGGTATGTCTGTGGGATGCGCAAAATATGTGATTCCATGTGCTTCGCAAATAAATATCGGGATTTCTTTCACTTTTGGTAATATTTGTTCAGCCTGTGGTTACTGTCTCTTTATTAGTCTCCGCCCATTACTGTTCATGATTTGGTCAGAACTAGCTTCATTTGAGAATAAGTGATTATGTCTAATTTTCTGAGCATGTTTCCGGTTACTTATTCATTTGAAAATGGAGTTTATTCAACTATTATTAACCAAACACCTAATGCTCATGGATTGAATGGCTTGGATCAAGACGTTGGAAAGTTGATGGGTTAGTAACTTTCTCATATTTTATACCTAAAGAGACTTGAATTTTCAGTGCCCATTCTCGAAACTCCTCAAGCCCACATCCCTCAACTTATGGAACTACAACAGCCTCAACAGACCCAGATTCAACATGAAATTCCACTCCAACCGCCTTGCTCCTTATCGTCTTCCATCTTCTCTCAACCTCAGATATCACAAACATCTACTACCTCTTCGGCAGCATCATCTTCATCTCAAAAGAAATATGTCAACCCATTTGCGCCCGAAGCCACAGTACCCCTGCCGATTGAGCTCGAAGATCAATTCGGACCATACAGGTGATTGAACTTTCCAACATAAAGATGCATTTCCTGAAGAGAGGCTGCGTAAAAAAGTTATAGGATCATTGTAACCTGTGCATGCTTTTTCTTTGTTATTTATAGGTTTAAAGGAGGGCAGACAGCAAAAATTTCGGGGAAAATTTCAGGGAATGTGTATTTTGCCGTCGCGGTGTTCGCACCTAAAGCACGCAATCCCACGCGCAAACATTTTTATTTTTTTATTTCCCGACTTTATTTTTTTCAATTTTTAACGACTTCAAACATTAAAAAAGCTCTTTTTTCTTATTTATTATAAAACCCATATAAAAGTGAATTTTTTATGTAAATTTAAAGTTCTATCGACCAATTATTTTGCCAGTCGCCGGTGTTTTTTATAGGCATGCGAAAAAAAACTATTTTCTCTTCGATAACCGTTTCTTCACTGTTCCTATTTATCTCATTACTTCTCGTTATTACTCTAGGAATAAAAAACTGTTTTATGACTGGGGTTTTCAGAGACGTCTCCATTTTTACTGCTTCCTTCACCTTCCGACGACCAGCCCTACACGAGGATTGTTTTAATTATGTGGTTTTTTTTCAATTGTTATGTCTCTTTCTAAAAATTAATTGTAGTTTTTTTCATAATTTATTTGTTAACATAATAAAACAAGTTTCTTCATTTTCAACTGATTTTGGTACCTCGGAGCGAGGCCTCGGCGGCACGCTGGTAGCCCTTCAGTAATTCCGAGTTCAAAAAGTTCAATCCGAAGGAAACAAGGAAAGAAAAAAGTAAAAACACCAGCAGGGATTGAACCTCTGACCTCCTGAATACTAGCCTAGAGCGTACCCACTACACTACGCGTGTAAGAGGCGACCATCGCGTTTTTCACATTATGAAGCGACGCCGCAGCAGCAAGCTAGTGAAGAAATTAGGGTGACAAAAAAGAGCATTTTTTCGTCCTTGAAGTGTTTTTTTCAGGTTTTTAAGTACATAGCTATACAGTGCGTTTCATAAGTATAGGTTCACCCTCGGTAGACAAGGTGGGAAATCTTGGAGGTTTGGGGTTGTTATAATATTAAAGTCCATGTAAAAATACATATCGCCCACAATTTTTAGACCGCTACTACAAAAAATAATTTTTTATGTCAGAAAAAGTCTTTTTTTTTTTTTGAAAAACGAGCGTTTCATAAGTATAGGTTCAACCCCGGAAAATTTAACATTAACAAAGTTTTATTCAATTCAATACTTTGTGGGCTTTTCACCAATGGAAATAATAGAAAACAAGCGGTTTGGCATGGAATTTAACCACTTCTGGAGGTAAGGCTTCTTCAGGTTCTTCCATGCGTCCACGATGGCAGTTTGGAGCTCAGAAACGGTCTGGTATTGCTTTCCCTGACCATATACGACGCGCACGAGTTCAGCCCAAACATTCTCCATTGGGTTCAAATCCGGCGAACAAGCCGGCCAATCCACCACCTTGATTTTTTTGGACTTGAACCAGTCCAAAGTCGATCTACTCGCATGAATCGAAGCATTGTCCTGTTGATATGTGAGCTGACGCCGATGAAAACGGCGAAGATATGGGATCAGTTTGGCAGTCATGACATCCTGATAGTCTGTCGAGTTCATTCTGAAGGAGACGAACGCCAAATCCACAGTACCGGCAGAAGAGAATGCTCCCCAGACCATAAGACGACCACCACCGAAGTTACGCTTGGAGAAATGGAGGGGATCCTTCTTCAGGTCGTGCCAGTAACTGTTGAAGCCGTCCGGCCCGTCCAGATTGAACTTTTTTTCATCGCTGAAGATGATCTGTAATAGAAAACAGCATAAGTGATGATTTCAAAAGCATTCCATACCTTATCCCAATCAGTTGCCATGTTGTTCCTTGCAAACTGAAGTCGGTTCGCCTTGTGAGTATCGGTGAGCATCGGCGCGGACATTAACTTGGCTCGGACAATGTTCTGATTGCTGTCCAGTGTTCTCCAGACCGTGGACTTGCTCACATCCAGTTTCAGCTCATTCTTTATGTCGTTACAGCTCTTCATCAAATTGGATGCCAGTCTGATGATGCTTCTCGTGTCTCGATCCGTCAATTTTTTCGGAGCTCCGCTCTTCTTGTTGGTCTCGTAGTGGTCCGGATTGTTAACAAACGTGTTAATACAATTGAAAGACCGTCCTAACCTAGCTGCGATGCGCCGATTCGACCATCCAGCCGTTTTGAACGCGTCGATCTGAGCTCGCTCCGAATCCGAGAGATGAGTGGCTCGCGGCATAAGAAAAACGAATTAAAAGACGCAAAAATAGTTAAAAACAGTAAAAATAGTTAAAAAGTTATCACCTATGTGAAACTGTAATTTTTTTCAAGGGTGAACCTATACTTATGAAACGCTCGTTTTTCAAAAAAAAGACTTTTTCTGACATAAAAAATTTATTTTTTGTAGTAGCGGTCTAAAAATTCTGGGCGATATGTATTTTTACATGGACTTTAATATTATAACAACCCCAAACCTCCAAGATTTCCCACCTTGTCTACCGAGGGTGAACCTATACTTATGAAACGCACTGTATTTATACTTCAGAGTTATATCTTTTCAGTAAAAATGAAAATTTTGAAATTTTTGATGTCTACCCTCCTTTAAAAATAGAATATCATACTAATTGTATTCACTCTAATAAAAGCCCATCCAAACCGGAAACTTTAAGCTCAATTATCTGGATTCCCATGAGAGATATCAAAAATTTGTCAACTGATAAATCATTTATCATCATATCACCAATATTTTATCAGTTGACAAATGCTCGATATCTTACACAGAAATCGAGATAATTGGGCCCAAATTTGTTGGTTTGAGTGGGCTTCGATTAGAGGAAGTATGGTATGTGTCAAAGGATGTTCTCACTGTATATTTTTATTTTTCAGCTCCTCAGTCTGGAAACGAAACGAGCGGGAGAGATGTCGTGTAAGAAATGTGAACGATGGATACGAAAAACTTCGAAGACATCTTCCAGTGCATTTTGAGTAAGGCAATCAGATCGTTCAAAGTTGAACTATCCTAAGAACTAATAACTTACTTCCAGCGAAAAACGGATCTCAAAAGTGGACACACTGCGTCTGGCGATTCGATACATTCGTCATCTGGACAATCTACTGAAAAATCCCATGCATCAATACGATTGTAAATGTTTCAACGGTTTTCAAGAAGAGTCCGAAGGCAATATTTCTATCGATATTTCCACATTTCAGTTCAATTCGATTGCTTTATGCTGATAAAATTGCTATGCGAGTTTTAAATTAATTTTTAAAAAATCTTGCTAAACTTTTTCCTGCTTTACCCATATCCAGCCAAACTTTTGGATTTTGCGCAATTTCTCAGATTTACCAGTGAAAGGAAAGCAAACGAGGCATTTCTGCCGAAGCCTATAATTTAAAGTAAAATATTCTGAAAAAAAAAATTAAAAATCGAAATCTTTGGTGCCAGAATAACATACAAAGAATAAAAGAAGCAAAAAAGACAGCACTTCATCTATTTATGATAAGAACTTCATGTATTATACAATTGGAAAAATTAAGGCAAATAGAAAATTAGAGCAAATCGTTCTCACTTAAAGAAAGAGCAGTTAGACTATTTAAGTTAGAGGTTTTTTTAAATCAGGAGTATGGAGGAAAGTTGGGGATTCGTAAAGTAAGAAAAATTTAGAAAAAAAGAGGGAATCAATAACATGGAGAAGTCAGTCAATAGGAATAGGTAAAGAATGGTACAAAAGTTAAGCATTCGCTTCTCTGACGAATTGCGGCTTGCGTGGCACGTATCCACAGTCTTCCAAAAAGTTCTGTCCATCAACACAAATCGAATCGTTCATTCGGTTTCTGACTTCCAAGAACATCTTCTTGAACTGAATACCATCACCACGCGAACGTCGGAAATCAACCATGACTCGTGATTCGGTTTTCAACGAGTACAATGTGACCATCATCGAAACTTCACGGAATGTTACCAATAGACGATTATCAGCCGTTTGACGAACTTCGTACCCAGCATGCTCGCTAGCATGAATCAGTTGACGATATGAAGTGGGAACGTCGAACTTGGTACAGAAGCGAGTCATACGACAGACCATTCTTTCCAGAAGATTCTGAGAGAAATCGCAAATTGGAAAAGGTGTTAATAGGCGTACTTAGTACTACTTACGGTATTATTTTGTGACATATCGATGTTCTGAGTGAGAAGAAGGTCCTCAGTACGTGTCGGTTGCGAGAACGAAGCATTCTGCCTCTCAACATGAGCCACTTTGTCTGGTGTTTCCAGATGACGTCGCTTTGCAGTCGACACTGCATCGGCTTGTTGGGTTGAAGATCTACAAACACGATAGTCTAAATTGATTTGAGCAATCCTATCACTCACATATTGCAATCCGGGGAATTCTCATCTGCATATCGTGCTCGTTTCAGTGGTCTTCCATACGTCATCTCCAGTTTACCATAGTTGTGTGTAAACCACGGATCCGTTTTAATTTGTTCTATCGTTGCTCGTCGATGCACATTATCAGTGAGGATGCGACGAAGCATGCAAAGTGCACGAACATCCATTTTTCGCCATGGATTCTCATCGAGATTATTGTTACCCAGCCATTGAAGGTAAGCGTATGAAGAGCTGAAACGTAAGGTTTTTGTAAAAATATCGAGTTGTATCATTGATGGGAATAAACCACTTTTTTTGAAATCCGGAAACGGAGTATTTCTTCCGGAAAAAGGACAAAAAAACTAGTTAAATTTTGCTCGGAAAAGGGAGACATGGCGGAAAATCTTTTTTTTTGTTCAATTCAGGTTTTTTCAGCGAACTCGAAAAAATATCAGTTAACGTCCAACCGCTAGATTTTTCCGAAAAAATCGAACTTTCGTGTCGTGTCACTTACTCGCTAGCGCGATCCCATGGCAGCTCTCCAGTGAGCATTGCAATCAGCACGATTCCGGAAGACCAAACGTCGATGGGCGGTCCTCGATATTTTCCTCCAGCGCATACTTCAGGTGCCGCATATGGGATCGTTCCACAACTCAGATCCAGAAGACGCTCTTTTCCCTCGTTGCGGTAAAGTGTAGCCATTCCAAAATCGGAGATTTTCAGTACATCTGAAGCGAGGATATGTAATAATTTCGATATTGGGAAAAAACTTACGGGAAGTTGTGAGAAGAAGATTTTCAGGTTTAATATCCCTATGAACAATATCACAGTCGTGAATATACTTCAATCCCTCTATTAATTGTCTGAAATAGAACTGCGCAATTGCTGTCGGCATTCCATGATCGGGTTCTATTTTATCGAAAAGCTCTCCACCGTCGGCGTATTCTAGAAACAGAAAATGAAATCCATTTTCAGTGCGCATTCCGATAGCTCGAATGAAATTGTCGTGTCCAACTTTTGATAGTTTCTGTTGGATGAGAAACTCCTTCCGAATGTTATTTGTGTTAGCCTGTGTTGTAATCTGCATCTTCTTCATCGCCACCGCCATGTCCGGGTTTTTGTTGTTCACAATCAACAAAACTTCACCGAATGCGCCTTCTCCGAGTGTTCGAATCACTCGATAGCACTCATTAGATTCTCCGGGTGCTGTGGGAATCGGTAGAGAACCTCTTGGTTTGGTGCTGACGTCTGCAGACATGATTTCTGAAAATTTCGGTTATTAAAACAGTTTTGAGTGTTAGCGAGGGAAAAAAAACGAAGAAACTGCTTGAGTAGATTTATTGCACGAATTCCGGTCCCAAACGGGAAAAACTGGAGAAATGTAATGAAAAATCAATGCCTTGATTTGAAATTCCCGCGCGCAACGACACTCCGTTATCCCGCAAAAATGGGCGGAGTTTGGAGAAGGTAGAACACTTCGAACATACTTAAATATGGGATAAAAACTGTTAAAAATCACAAACAATTGTTATAAAGAAAGAAAATAGCTAAAGAAACAAAAACGAAATATTTTCAACAACAAAAAGGGAAATCTCGGAGTTTTTACGACCATTTTGCAGAAAGAAGAATTGTTTTGTTGTCATCCTGTCCACCCTGTTTTTTGGTTCGGAAGAGCTTCAATTGTGAATTTCTTCTCTATATAACATCTGGCAATAAGGTGGAAGTGGGCAAGAAGTGTTTTTTGCATGTTTTAAGTCGGCTAGCCCTGGATGCGTTGAAGACACTATATCTGCGGATGTTTAACCCCTTCCTGTTGATTCTTTGAACATTGGATTTTGCAATACCAAGGTCAAAAGTTTTTTGAAAAACATTTTTCGATTACAGATTAATATGTAATAGAGATTCTCTATATTCCAAACCATAAAAATAACATTTCGTATTTTTCGATTGTTTAATGGTTTTGTTGGTTAATGTCACCTGTTGCGTTACTTCTTTTTTGTTTATTTTTTGACCCCGTTTATAAACCCAAATGCGAAATCCTCCGTTTTTTTCTACTAACATGTTGGGATATAAAAAGGTAAGAGATTTTATAAACAAGAAGAGATTCAATCAAAAAAGTGGTCAACTGGACAGTTAAACAGTCTGGAACACAATTTCAGTTTTTTTTCTGCTTCTCGGTGGGATCATCTTCAGCGTCGTAGTCCCCCTTGATTATATTTGAACGAATTATGGCTTCAGCACTAGTTTCAGTTTTGAACCCGATCTCTTGGACCAAGGCTTCCACAAAGTTTCTGAAATTGATAATGATTTCGAATTTCCTTTTTTGGAAACTCCATCGTATACAGTACAAAAATATGAATTCAAATCCAATTTTTCTTTCAGATACCCACTTCTCTATTCCATAGTCTTCTTCTCATTGTGTTCTCTATATATTTCTCTGCAGTCTTCTCCTCTCCAGTTTCTCTTCTTTCCACTATATTTTCCCCCTTCTGACTTCTCCCTCTTTGTTGTGCACGCTCCATCTCCCCATCTCTCTTCTTGTCCCGTTCAATAGTCAGCTGAGTAGAAATCGGACGCATTTTCCTTTTTCTCTCTGTTCTCAATCTATTCTGTTGTCTTTTTTATTGGAAAACATATTCAGCAAGATTTAGATATTGTACATTTATTATTGATGTTGTTTAATACTATTCACTCAAGATATCAATAAAAGACCCAACTTCAATTACATTTTTCATTTAGTATCTGTAATACTCTTAAAGTATACGGTGAGAGGGTAGCACCCACAGTGCTCCCCGGAAATCACCAAACACCAACTCAAAGTGGTTCGAACAAGTAGCGGCGACGAGGCTGACGAGCCAGCCGCTGTCGTGCCCGTTAAACGGAGAAGGTAAGGAGCAAATTTTATGAATTTATTATTAACCATGAAAATTTCAGGATGACTCTGGACGAAGGCACTAGCAATAGAAACAAAAAATCAGGGAAGAAAGGACATGTCTCGGTGGCGCAAAGGCTTCAGACCAATGCGGTGAGCACCATAATTGAAATCCTAGATCTCACTATCAAAAAAAAATATAGAGCAGCTAGATTACTGTTTAGTGCAACGAGTAATAACCCGAAATTTTCATGTTACAGCAACTCTCTCCTCGATCCCAAGATGGTACAGATGATAAAGCCGGTGATCAGAAACAAAGAATAATGTTGGGAAAATATGACAGGGCAACGATTCGAATTATAGCCCAGTTCTTGGATAATGCAGGACTACAGTGAGTTTATACATTTGTTTATTTAGGTTTAGGTGGTTAAAAAAATCATGTTGAAACTTATATTTTCTATTTTTGAGCACTTTCAAAGTCTTGAAAAAAAGGAGTTTCCCTATACTTGCAAACCGGGCCCATGGCGGTCCGTCACCGGCTCTGCCATAGTTTCTTTTAGAATCAATATTTTGAACCAATCAAAGCAGATAAAAAGTTGAGATTTTCAAATGTTTAAAAAACTGTGATGAAAACCAAGAATCCGTCTAAAAAGGTGTAGTTGTATACGGTATGAACTTCAAACTGTTTATACTTTGAAACAACGGATAAATATACACAAAAATTCTAATGATGATGAAACCATAAAATAAATGTATGTGAAGAGTATGTATGTGAAGTGTGTATTACGTTATTCGAGAACTACAGAAAAGTTAAAAACCATTTTCTGTAGTTTTAGGGGAAAAAAGTAAAAGGAAAAAAAACGTCAAATATAAAAAAATATACCGAAACTCAAAATTCGAATTTCTGTATATATTTTTTTTATATTTGCCGTTTTTATTCCTTTTACTTTGTTTCCCTAAAACTACAGAAAATGAAATTTAATTTTTCTGTAGTTTTATCTAGGTTGAATCAAAAGAAACAACATAACTTCCATAAATTTTATTGCTACTCTTGTTTTCAAACTTTTATCGTATATTTATACAGAAACATAAATTTTTCAGAATTTAAAATATTTTCTGTATGCACTACCGAGAATATGCAATGTTCTAGGGTTTTGGGCAAAAAGTTTCAACATTTGAAATTGCCAACTTCTTATATGAAAGAGCTTGAAAAGTGCTACAAAATGATATTATGTGGATAACTTTACTTATCCATGAATAAAGTTACAAACCATAAAGATGCCAATCCGAGCAGGGACAGGTCCTGCCTGTTTTTTTGGTCCGTTTTGCTTAGTATCACTTTGTAGTACTTGTCAAGTTCTGTAATATCCAATATAGTTGGTCCAAAAATATTTATCTAAAAAAACTATAGCAGGTCCCGCGAAAGCCCGCCAGGAGTCCGGTTTACAAGTATGGGCTTAGGTGACTACTACTTTCTATTTTCAATCAATTTTTGAAATCTTGAAAAATGAAGTTTTTCGAGGACAATAAGTTCGAAATCCATGATCAATTTCAGAAACTCTGTGGAAGCCTTGGTCCAAGAGACTGGATTCAAAATTGAAACTAGCGCTGGCGCCAGAATTCGCTCAAATATAATCAAGGGAAACTACGACGCTGCTGTCAGTGTTCTGAAACAAGCTAGAGATCTCCCAGAGGACACTGCTCAAAACGCTGGATTTATCATTCAGTGTTTCAAATTGGCTGATTTGGTCAGAAAGGGTCGAGTAAGTCATGATTTGAACTTGCGGGAACATATGAAATTTGCAAGTAATTGAACGCCCATTTGAAATCTAAATCACAGCTATTTAATTGTGAAGCGGGGTTGTCAAAAAGCGTACAAACGGCGACTGAGTATTTTAAGCTCATGGGGAAAGATTTATGATAAAAAGTATAGAAGGCAGGCATTAGTAATCGGATCAAAATGAAAAACACAGTGTTAAAATATAAGAAAAATTGTTTAAATATATTTTTTGAAGGATATTTTACGAAGAATACTTTTTGTCACAAACTTTTTCTCCTTTTGCTTATAATACGAAAGTTATAGTCACCTCTTAGATCTTCAGCCGCCGTCCACCCGTTTTTGACAACATCATCTTAACTGTGAAGTCAAATATCGAATAACTATTTATGATGTTTTTAGTACTTTGACGCCCTATTCACAATGAAAACGATGGCACCTACTGTAACCCCAGAGCAGCCGAAGCATTTGGAATATTTCAATAGCTTTGTGAAGAATGTCATGTTGGGAGAAAACGACTATCAACATTTAGAGTAAGTACCCAGTAGCAAAACTGTAGTCCCATGATTACTTTTCAGAGCTTCTAACGTAAGAGAATCTCAATTAGGATTCTTGGAAGAACTTCTCCCAACTGATTTTATTCTGCCACAAAATCGTCTAAAAAGTATTCTAGGAAAAGGTAGGTTCAATGATATACTGAAATATATTTTCATGCGACCTTTTAGTTCATGGACCACCCACTGACGAAAAATCGGTCAAACTGCTCCGTGATGAGCTATCCACTGGTTCACAAGGAGCCCTTTATAAGGAGACTCAACAAATTATAGATACCAGCAATATACCAATTTATATTGTGAAATTTTCTCGAAACGGAAAAATGTTGGCTACGGGGGGAAGAATTGCTCTGGTTACTGTATGGGATGTGCGGAATGGGCAGCTGAAAAAAAGAGGAGATATGTTATCAAACGCTGAAGGAGATATAGGGTATATGGAGTTTTGTCAGAAGAATAATTTCTTGTTAGCGTGTGGAGGAGTCGCATCTAAATATCATGTGAGTTACTTTTTTCAAATATGTAGTCCGGAAAAAAGAGTTTTCACATTTCATAATTTGATCCAACTGTTGGTCTTTTCAGGTTCACATTTATGACCTCAATACCCGACAACTGTGCCGTACCTTGAAAGTGAATAACACTCGGGATGATCTTGCGGATATCGCCAGTTTCTTTACCTGTGCATCTTTTATGACTGATCCAATGACCGACCGCACTCGAGTGGTGGCTGGAAATGAAATGGGAACACTCAAAATATTCGAAATCTCTTTGAATGAACAATTGGGATCATCTCGTCAGATAATGGGATTCCGAGTCCGATGTGTTTATGGAATGAAAGACGGAGACTCATTTCTGACTGTTGATTCAATGAACCGCGTTAGACTTTACTCGATTTCATCTGATAATCAAGAAGGAACAACGATTTGCAAGGAAGACGTAACGATTCTAAACATGACAGTTCATCCTAGTGAGCGATTGGTTTTGACTACTACAGATGTCAATTTGAGACTTTGGGACATTCGGAACCGAAATTTAGTTCGTGTTTTCACTGGAGCTTGTCAGCGAGAAGAGTTTATCAAATACCAAATTCATTCATCTTTCGGTGGATGTCATCAGCAATTCATTGCCACTGGATCTATTGGAAGTGAGTTCCTAATCTGTAGTTTTTGAAATTCAAAAAAAATTCTATGAAATTCGAAAAACAATATCAACACTCTAATAGAAGCCCACCCTAACCGACAACTTCAAACCCATATATCTCGGTTCCTGTGAAAAATACAAAAAGTGGTCAACTGTTAAAATATTTTTGATATTTTAATAAACATTTTGTCAATTTACCACTTTTTGATATCTTTTACGGGAACCTAGATATGTGAGCTCAAAGTTTACGGTTTGGATGACCTTCTATCAGAGTATTTACGGTAAAATATGTATGATAATGGTATGCAAAAACTGGAGGTGTGGAAGAGAAAATTTGGTGGGCGCGGCCAAAGTAATCGAAAAAAAAGAGCAAAAAATTTTGGTCATGGTGGTTTTCGATACGCGAACCGATAGCCACGCCCACAAGTTCTTCTCTTTCACAGCTCCGATTACTTTCGTACAAGAATAATAGAAGAAGAACACATTTATTTTAAAAAATCCAATTCAATTTTTATTAATTACAGAAGAAACCGATGCATCACTGACTGAAAACAACCGGGACAAACGGAAAAACGGGCGTGTTGTTATCTGGAGTGTTGAAGAATCTCGTCCAAAATTTGAGTTCGCCGGACACAAAGGCCATGTGAACGGTGTGACGTGGCATCCGACAAATCCTGCAATGCTCGTGAGCTGTGGTGATGACTCAACGATCCGAGTGTGGCATTTGAAGAAGTCGGTGACTTCTGAATACTCTCACATAGTGCCTCGTCGCATAACTCGAGAGGAAAAAATGCAAAGAAATGTTTTATTGGAGATGCCGTCAACGAGTAACTCAAGGAATCACGAACCACTCAGACAAGAAATTATGAAGAGTTTGAGAGATCAAGTCAAGAGAATGAGCACGAATACAGAGTTTGAAACTGATTTGAAAATGGAACAAGAATGGATCAGGATGACAGGAAAACCAAAGTACGCTATGGATAAAGAGAAGACTGGTCGGCGGATGTAATTGTAATTGTACTGATATTCTGTACATAAAAATGATTTGAATGAATTTATAAACAAAGATTTGAATTTTCTGTTTAGAAGATACCTTCCATTTCTCTAGAATTCCATTTGTCCGGCGACGATGAACCTTGTGGCTGAAATTTCATTTAAAGGCGCATCGTCGGTCAAAAAAAAAACGAAATTCTTTATTTTTGAATAAGTGCATTCACCCCTGATACCGTATCTCAAAATAATTCAATTTTCGTCTGATTCTCTTGAATCTTTCATTGAATTTCCTTATAAAATAGAGAAACAGCTGAAAATCGGTTAAAATAAATTAATAGTAAAGTACGGTATTGAAGGCGCATGTAATTTTTTTTTAAACTTTGCTTTTTCGCTACAGGACTGACGATGCACCTTCAAAAATCGCCGCCGGACAAGGAAAATATAAACATTGTTTCGATTCAAAACGTTCCCATTTGTTATCGAAGCAATTTATTCACAGAACAAGCAATAAGTTAGCAAATAGAGTTCTTTCAATAATTTGTAAGATAAAAAAGCTAAAAGTTGAAAATAAAACGGGCTATATTCAAAGGGCTATTTATGCTACAGCAAGAATTCGAGATGAGATCTGAAAAAGGAAATTCTGAAGTAAAAAAATTATTAGTGAAAAAGTGCACTGGTATTAGCAAATAGATACATAAAAAGCGGAAATAAAGTGGAACAGAATAATTCAATAAGAGTTAATCATTTTTGTATCACACATCTATAATGGCGATGCGACACGAAGCTCTCTGGATAGTTCTATCACACTTCTACGAAGAGATGAAGCCTTTGCAGTCAGTTCTTTTTCGCGTAGTTTCCAGTGATCAGCCAAACTTTGAATCGTTTCTGTTTCTGGTTTCGACCAGCTGTTATCTGGACGTTGCCAACGGAAGAATAGACGATCCCAGATTTTCTGAAAAATTTAAAAAAACACACATTTTAACAAGGTGGAAAAACTCACAATACACTGTGGTGCAATGCTTGGCCAAATAACACCTGACGTCGGATCATAACACACATTCACAAATTGTTTCATATTCTCAGGATGGTGTACATGCGACCACAGAGACACCGTCTTTTTTCGAATTCCATTCTCCTGTTTCTCTTTTTCAGAGTTTCCAAGGAATGAGCCGAATTCCGAAGCGTATGCGTGTTCGAAGAGGAAAATCAGAAAGTTCTCATCGAATTCGAATGACATTGGATATTGAGCAATCATTTGATATACCGCATCAAGGAAAACCAGAAACACGGGAGCTTCGAATGGTCCTGTAACTGTTCCCTCAGCATATGCGCAATGGTTGTTTCGGAGACTGAATGGGTGACCAGCGCAGATCCATTCACGCTCGATAACTGACTCGAAGCTGGAAAATGTGCATAATTAGCAGAGTCATAGACATACAGTATCGATCAATAAGATATACGAATACTTATTTTTCAGTTGATTTTCGGTCATTTTCAGCAGTCTGGAGCTCGTATGTCAAGCTTCCGAACACTTCGAGAGTTTTGGAGGGTGTGAAACAGATCTAGATTGAAAACATTGAATTTACAAACTTTTTTTTGAAAATTCCTAGTTTTTAGATTTCTGAAAGACACTACTTTTTGTCATGGTTTTGAAAATATGAAAAAAGAACATATATCTTTTAGGGATCGGAAAATAGCTAAAAAACTAGGAATTTTCAAAAAAATCTGCGAGTTCAAAGTTTTCTATCTACGTCTGTTTTATAACCTCTAAAATTTCAAAGTAATCTGAAAAATAGTAAACTCGACAGCAGAGCTCAAATCTCCTGGTCAAAATCATCTGAAAGATACGTTTTTTTTAATATCTCATAGACCGGTACTGTAATTGAAAAGGACACTGATCTAATTAATTTTTCGCCTACCCTCTGATTGTTCTCGCATCGGAATCTAACAAAATCTGTGCTAACGACGATGCGATCAACGTGGAATCGATACCCTCTCCTCCATGAATCACCACAGGAACCTCTTTAAGTCCTTCACTATATATACATTGTGCGACATTTGCACCAGCTTCTAATGATGCGGCAACAGCGGATAGCCAGCCGGCTTGTCCAACTCGGTTGACCCATCGATCCGAGGATACTTTCCGTTCAGAACAAACGTCCACCATTCGGGTCAGCGCGTCGTGAATTTCTCGTTGACGTGGAATGGGGCACTAAAAATAGATACCTTTATGAATACTGTAGGCAGGAATTATCGGGAAGTATCGTACCTGTATGTATCTCCATTGTCTGTAGTTCCCTTGTGGTTCAGCTCCGCCTCCTTTCGCCTTAGCAGCAGATGCAGCTGACTTGGACCTTGTGTCAATGATATATCCTCTATTAATGGTTATCAATGAATTTAATATCGTTTCATCCTCTCGACACCGTCGATTTGTTGGTCCAATCAATGGTTGCGAGCATCTGACGATTGGAGATTTGGTCTCCTTGTGGAAATAACTGAGAACCGGAAACCGAGAAGCTTCTCGGAACGTCGCCGAGATTTTCAAATAATCGTCTCCGATACCTTTAGAAACAATAACTTTTTCCGGATAACTGGAACAGACTGTGAAGTTTTCATTGACGCTGGAAATTCTGAAAGCATCCGTTGAGAGCATCAAACGAGCGAATTCTTGTTCAGGGTCGAAGGCCGACCAACCATTGTCGAGAATTGTAAATGGGGAGTTGTAGAAGAATGCGTAATCGTGTAGAAAACCATCTGAAAAAACTTGATTTGCATCAAATGTGGAAATTTTTTTACTCACTGATATTGGAAAGGGCTTCAATTGTTCTGGCAGTCGCCCGACAAATTTCCAAGTCTCCGATTTCGAAAATAATCATGAGAAAATTTTTGCACTTCAATGCTAAAAGTCCTCCTCTTTGAGGATTTTCTTTGGAAATCGGCTCACAGAGCACTCGATCGACGGCTTTATGAAGCAGCCAGAACTCCTGAGAGTTGTCGGGTTCTTCTTTGCTGACAGCTGTGGGCGCGAAGATTAGATGGTGACCTGTATTATAAATTTTGGACAAATAGAAAAAAGAAAAACTGACCAAAAATGCAGATATCTCCGATTTGCGCCGGGCGCGGACCTTTCCGCATAAATGCGTCTCGTACCCGTGTTACTTCGATCAACTCTGATAGCTCCATGACTGTAAATAATTTAGATGATCATTAGTTTAAACCTCCTGCAAAAAATTTTTGTCTTTAAGTTAAAAGATTGGCTTAATAAATATCTCAAAAATATCGATAAATAGGAAAAACAACGACGCTCCGGAATAACGGCGGACCTCTGTTTAGTGTCGTAAATCGACACAAAAACTTTTGGAGGGAATTTGAAACAGACAGGAAAAGGAAATTTTTCCAGGAAACTTATTCAAGGAGAGAAAGAGATGGCTGTTTATTCCGTTCTTGTTTGAAAAAATAAATAAAGTGACACAGAAATGTAAATAGATATCTACTCTTTTTACTAATTCATGAACATTCTCTTGTTTTGGTTTATTACCCTAAAAACGTTTATTTCCAAATTCTGAATTTTGACGAGAATTTCGACGGTTTCTCTAGAATTCACTATTCAGAAGACGTCAGAATTGAAAATTCAGAATTTTGAATTTTCCGCTATTTCTAGTCATTTTTCATAACAGCTCTCTCTTTGAAAACCATTTGTTTCTTCCAAAATCAGAATTCTGACGGCTTCAGAAAATTCAGATTTTTCAATTCTAAAGAAATTGTAAAAATCTGAATTTTCAAAAAAAAATACGTTGTTTTGATACCCATAATGTCCTGAAAATCCGGAATTCAGATCTCTGAATTCTGACGTCTTCTGAAAATTAAGATTTTTTCAATTCTATTAAAAAAAACAGAAAAAAGGTAAATTGAATTCAGTGCATGGATCCGATTATCAGAAACAATGTCATCGTCCATCTGTAACCCTGCATACCGTAAAAACTGTAATAGAAGCGCCTCTTAATTTTTTAAGTTTTAGGCAATTTATCTTGGTTCCTGTGAAAGATATGAAAAAGTTGTCAACTGATAAATTATTTATTATGATGTCAGTAGTGTTTTGTTAGTTGCCACAATTTTGATATCTTGCCTAGGAATTGAGATAATTGAGCTGAATCTTGATAGTGTGGGGGCCTTCTGGTTTTACGGTAATTCTATTTATAATCTGAAAAACAAATCGGAAGCAACATATTGTGGTATTCCCCATATCCGTCGCATCGGGATAGATAGAAATCTATCATCCGAGTAAATAAAATAAGCATGACACGAAAGGATATAGACACAAAAGAAGAACCGCCTAACTCCTATTAGAGAAAGGGGGATGGGTCATCTGTCATAAGTCAATCCACTTGTTTGGTGGAAGGACAGAAAGAACATTATTCAAAGTTGAGAAGTTAGTTTGTGAGAAGAAGCAGAGATAATTCAATTACTTTTCTGGTACAAAAAATCGGAGCTATGGAAGAGGCTGAAGGCTCAATAATGAAAACTACAGTAACCTAATAATATATTTGCTTTGCCGAATTTATTTTCTCGTTTCTCACTGTTTTTTGTTGAGAAAATAAAAGTAATTAATAGTGAAACACTGACTGAAAACGCACGAAAATCGAGACAACGAAACCGGAAAAATAAAATATTTTTAGGTTAGGTAGTTTTCGTTGTGGGACCTTCAGCCACGCCCCCTCCCCTGCGTTTCTTTTCCACAGCTCCAATTTTTCAGTACCATAATAATAAACTATTTGACTTTATTCAGACCTCATATCTTTTTTATCCCCCGTTATGTCACTATGAGACATTTGAATCTCTTCCTAATTCCTCGTTCCCCACTTGAGAAAGTAATTCCTCATCCTCATTAAACCAAGTCCTCGCTTTCTACTTTTCTAAGTGACCGTCGGAGGAACGTCCACCCACTCTTTTTCTAATTCTTTTTCATCTCCAAAGTGACACTAAAAATATGAATTGAATTCTCCTCTAAAAGTGAAGGAGGAGGGAGGCTGAAGACGTAAGCAGCAATTAATCGTTTCGAATTTAGGACAGACAAAATGCGCCAAACAAGAGGCAAGAAGTAGAAGAAGTGCGCCCGACTTTTACTGTCAAAACTGTCCCGATTTTCCCTCCTTTCATCCTTTTCGCTCAAAACGTCTCGGGTTTATTTTTTCCTTGATTCTCTATATTTAGTTGAACTATACTACTCATTTTCAACCCTTTTTTGAAACCTCGATTTGTCAGAAAGATATCTTACTTCCTAGAGACTGTAAGCACTCTATGGTCACCCTGTACAGGCACTTTGAGCTCATATATCTCGGTTCCTGTAACAGATATTAAAAAGTGGTCAACTAAGAAAATGTTTGTTATGATATCAAAAATGTTTTGTTGGTTGACTACTTTCTGATATCTCTTATAGAAATTCATATAATTGCGTTCAAAGTGCAAGTATAGGGTGACCTTCTATTACAGGTTTTACGGTAGTTCCAATAGATCCATGTTGCTTTTTTGTACTCCAAACTTGTGTTAAACAGTTGAAGATGGACAATTTCTAATTTTATAAATTATGTGGGCAGTGGTGTTAAGCGGAATTCTGTCTTCCGTTTTTCGTAAAGTTCGGGAAAATCACAAACAACGGAGGACTAGAACTTCCGATGAATGTATCAAAATTGCAATTATCTTCTCAGAAGTTGTTTCAGTGGATCCATCTAACTGCAAAACACGTGCAATAGTTCGAATCTACCGTATTGTCCAATTAAAAAATGTCGATTTTTGATTAGTCTATTTTCTGCCTTTCTCCTTCCGTGAAGCAAGATTGTAATTCCTCTTAACAGTAGTGGGCAGCATAATCATTTTCCTTTAAATTCAGTATCTCCGACTTCTATACTATGAATGGAATTAGAATCCATATGTTTTCAAACCCAGCAACAGTTTTCCATATTTCTTCCGGTTTCTTGATCCATATATCTCACCATCCTCAGCCATCCGACCACCCTTTCATGCCAACACAACCGTAACATTTACTTTTCATTTTGCATTTTTTCGTTTCTTTTCTTTTGAATATTCCCTTTTTATTCTTCTTCTTTCAACGTTTGACCGGTCTCTCTTCTAAAAGTGGTAGTCATGCCTGTTGACTTGGCTACTTCTATGGAAACGTTCGCTTTATCCTTCTGTGGAACGAAGATTTCCTTTTTTGTTTTGTTGTTAATTTTAAACAAGTCTCCCTTTTTAGACACGATTTTTATACTTTCAGAGATGATAACTAAATCCAATGATATCATTTTCAAAAATCCGATTATGTTCATTGTTTTCGTTTTTCTCATTATGCCATCAATTGCACAACCACACTTGAAAACCAAGTGTTCTCTGGAATGTTATGCTGTGTGTATGCATTCTGGAACGGTAAGTGGGTTTCCTTATTTTTTGCAGTCCGTAAAAAATTTAAAATGGTGGGAGAGAGGAATTATCGGGTCATCTATACTTGGACAATTTTTCGTTTACCTTTTTCCTCGATCTGTTTATTCGGAAAATTTTGGCAAAGAATTTTTTGGTTGAATGGAGAAATAATAACTGGGTGTGGCCTCTACACAACTCTTCATCGTTCAGACAACATTGACATCTAGCACTATTTCCAGCCTTCTGCGTCCACATGTAACTGTCCAGTTTCCCGAGATCCATCGAATTGTACAAAGTTTGATGCAGATTTCCAGACAGGTAATTTCTGCAATATTGCAACTGATATTTACAATCCAGATATATTTTCAGCTCGAATATCCACAATTATACCAAAAACGAAATCAGAATACGTTGATGCTCATATGATTCGAGTATCCATCGAGCCTCAACCATCCGCATTTGCATACGCTTTTGAGTACTCCACGATATCAACAGAACCGGATAACTGGATTTTTGCTGTAAGACTATTTTAGTTTGAGAGTGGTTCAAGAAAACAAATGTTAACAGAAAACCTTCTCATCAATTTCAAAACCATTGTTTTTCATAGGAATTCATATTATAAAACCTATCGTAAACCCTCTATTAGTAGGGCTCCGGCACTTTTAACTTTGAGCCAATTTATCTCGGTTCCTACAAAGATATTAAAAAGTTGTCAACTGATAAATTGTTTATCATAATATCAAACATATATTATTAGTTGACAATTTTGACATCTCGCAAAGAAGTCCAGAAGAAAATTGACAGCTTGGGCGCCCTCCTATTACAAGTTTTACGGTAATTTCTGAATCAAGCTGTGTTGGGGTACCGTAACTAATTTAAATAACACCCTTGTTCCGATTTTCTTTAACTCTCCTAATTAAGCGTTCCCATTTTAAGGGTGCTTCTGCCAAACCGGAAGCCATCTTCAGCATTCTCGACCCGTGCCGTGATTACCAATTTCGGGTAATTATCGTTGTCCGTAGTTCGAACCCTTCGGAAGTTTTGGACATAATCCGTCCTCAACCAATTCCCGTTCAATTGCCACCGTTTATTCTGACACAACAGCAGGTGAAACAATCGAATGATCTTTTCAGTTTTAAAATTCAAATTTCAGATCTCTATTGAAATGCCTCGTGGTTCTAGTCAGAACTCTTCTGAGGATCTGAAGCTTTATGTGAAATGGTTGTTACCATCGGGTTACATCGATGGAGACATTTACAGTTACGAGTCTCCAGCACTTTATCCAATTCAGTGTAGCACTCCGGAAGGGGAAATCCCAACACCTCGAATCGAAATTGTGCGAGGTGGAGGTCGATTAGCAGTTTGGTTACCTCCGTCTGTTTTGGAAGCACGTTGTCGAATGTGGGTGGAAGTAAAAATGTTGCCAAGATGTGTCAGACTCGAGCCTTTCAACATACAGAAGAATATTGAGATTGATTGCTCGAAGAATCCAAATTTAGAAATTTGTAATAAAGGTTCGTTGCGGTGTTTTTTTTTTGAGCGATCCCACATGCATCTCAATCTGTATTTACAGAATCAAATCCCGTATGCTTTGAATCCGTTAACATCGGTGGCGAACATGGCAAAGCTCGCATATCTTGGGAAGCTCCAGAAAAGAATCCGCTTTACTACCACGTCAGATATGGACCTGCTGAATCAAAAGGAATTGCGCCGTTTGTGACATGGCAGTTAGCAGCAAAGAGAGAGGTTCGAGTAGATGGATTACTTTCCAGTTTCAGTTTGGATATTCCTGAAGATGAGGACTTCGGGGTTCAGGTAAGAATATTCAAGAAGGCTTGAATTCTAATAAAAGCTGTTTTAGGTGTGTGCAATTCTATCTAAAAAGAGAAAACGTCCAAAGTTCGGTGTGATTCAAGTTATTCCGTTCCAGTGCTCGAGCTGTAAAACAACACGTAAGTGAGCATTTTTTCTGCACATTTTTCTTATTTGTCTTGTTTAGAAACCACTGGATGCGCTGATTGTGGACTGATACTCGGTTCGACAGTTCTTGAAAAAGGCTGGATGAATAAAACGCCACCGAGGAAACCGGATACAACAACTCAAACAACACTGTCTCCAAAACCTCAAACATCTACAGTATACCGAATGGAAACGGATTTATCTGTGTCTGGAAATGGAATACGAAATGATCCACATGTGAAGGTTAAGAGTGGAACGGTATGTGATTTTCTTAGAGTTTACCGTATTTGCTCTAGCAGAAGCCCACCAACTCAGAGAATTTTTGGCTAATAGCGGTGCAAAACGGCACCGTTCTCTCCGCTATTAGCCGTTTTGCGCCGCTATCAGCGCTATTCGCTTGATCGAGCCAAAAACACGGGCTATCAGCGGATTCGTCGGCTAATAGCCATGAAGGCGGCGGGAAGGCGCCACTCGACGCTAAAAAGTCTCTGAGAAAAAGGTCAACTTTGAGCTCACTTATCTCGATTCCTGTGAAAGATATCAAAAAGTAGCTAACTGGCAAAACAGTTTTGAAAGTTGGATAAATATTTAGTTAGTTGACTTCTTTGTGATATCTGTTACATAAAATATAGGTTCGAAGTTGATGGCTTCTATTAGAGAAAGTACGGTAGTTTATCCTGTTCCTTTTTCAGAGACACTCCACAGACTCCCCAATCAACCTTGAAAAAGCGGAGGAAATCAATAAAAAGACCGTTGAAACTCAAGAGGAAGAAACAACAACCATAACTACCACACCCAAAAGCCAATCATCAATTTCTCCAGATAAAAAGACACCAGCTCCAAAACCAATACTCAAAGTCCCAAGCCTTCTATTCCCTCCGAAACTGTTTGGAGCAACTACATCTGAATCTCAGCCAACAACAAGTCCGAATACTTCTGAAGCCACAATACCTATTAATGTTTCTCATAAGCCCACAACTCATAAACCAACACCTCCAGAAACGCAGTCAAGTTCACGAATTATGAGTGAAGAACTTGAAAAGTCTGTGGAGAATCTAGAAAAAGCAATCGAAGAAACTATGAAAAATGGATCTGGGAAGTTGAATAATCAGACAATTGAGGCAGTTGAGAAAATCGATAGGGAATTGGAAATTAGATCAGAAGAAGTAGAAAAACAATTACAGGACTCGGTAAGTAGGTGTCAAAAATAGGGAAATCTCAATTGTTGTACCACAGCTCGCCAACTTGGTTGCCAACAATAGTGAAATACGCCACCACGAAAAGTCAAAAAAGTGTCTGACAAGTGAGGGCGTCGTTTGTGAGTTCGGATGTGAAGACCGCAAAAAGTTTGTTTGTGTTCCTTTAAAACTTCTCTAACTTTTATTATTTCCCAGGTGCTTCTGCCCTCCCTCAACGCATGCTCGTCTTATGAACGGCGTTTGTGTCAGCAGGGCTACCATGCTGCACACAATCTGTCTACCACGTCGAGAAATCAACGCCACCTGGGATTCGGAAAGTGGAAATATCATGGTCAGAAGAAGTGATGCATTGTATCATATCCAACATGCTGAAAATGTGGACAAGCTGTTTGTTGAGTTTGGCAAAGCAAGCGTACTAGCTGACAAGGAAAATAATGAGACGATAATTGAATTTAACGATCCCCAAAGAAGTAAAATTGTAGTACTTATTCAGGTATGGTTAGAAGAAATGTACTAGAATATTCCGATGTTTGTTTTTATAGACTGTCCTAAAATCATCCGTCTTCTCCACAGAACCATTCATATTCCATGTGAATGAATCTATCGATATGAACTCAACTTATGGAATGAGGTTATGTGTGTTCAACTCTTCTCAAATTAGGGTAACTTTTTTTGGTTGAAAATTTTTAGTAATTAAAAGTTTCATCTTTTTGCTTTCAGAGTCCTCACAACTATAACTGGGACGACCGTAGTCGTTTCGAGAAACACGAGCAAATCGCAGAAGTCATCCAGCTATCACCAGTCAGATTCACCAATAAGCTTCCTCTTCTATTCCCAAGTACAGATACTTATTGGAGTACTGTGATGACTATTGCCAAAATTTCCATTTTGGTCATTCTGGCGCTTGCCATTTTCATTTTGGTTTATCTCAACTGTACCAAGTTTCGAACGTTATATGATAGAAAAAGAACACACTACTTCCGACCGTTTTACATAGATCCATCGGTGAGTGGGAATTTAGAAAATTCGCTAACAAAGTTGATTTATATTACAGATTCATCTATCAAATACTGCACCGTCTTCCAGAGGTAGTGGTGGAGGTCTGAAGCGGGATCCATCACGGGGATACTATGATGTTCGAAATTCTCACTTGATTATGTAAACAGAAATCATCCATCTTTTTTCACTTCCACTTTCTTGTTTGACAAGAAAAGTGTCGTTTTTAATCGTTTTTCCTGAACCCAATGAGCTCATCTAATATTATTGTTTTATCCTCTCTAATTCCAAAACTGCTGACGTGTTACATTCCTCTCCTCAAAGTGTTATCTCTATGTCTTTTTATGTACTGTTTTTCACCTACCGTAAAACCTGTAATAGAAGGACCGCCTATCTGTTAAGTTTGAGCGAATTTAACTCCGCTCCTGTGAAGTATATCAAAATGTTGTCAACTGATAGATTGTCAATCATAATATCACAAACATTTTATCAGCAAACACATTTTTGATACACTTTATAGGACCCGAGATAATAGAGCTGAAATTGACAGAGTAGGGGCCATTCTATTGCATTTATTTGCGTCTTACTATTAGAGCTTTAGAAATGTTTTTGTTCACTTTACAGATAAATTATTCTCGATGATTGGATTGATCTGATTAAATTTTTATTGAAAGTAATAATGAAGTTGAAACACATTTTTTGGTGAATAGTTAAAAGCAAATAATGTGAATAAATTTTTTTTTCATCATAAAATGTTTGTTCTACTCGGTGAAGGCGTTCTGCGTTCTAATTTGGAGCAAATTGTTGTTTGCTTCTTCTTCCTCTTCTCAAGAGCCTTTCCACTAGTTTTCGTGCCCAGTTTCGGACGACTTTTCCTTCTTCGTATACATCTTTACATTCCTAATTTGATTTCTTTTACTTGTTTTGAAAAAAATATTTTTCTGATCAGACTGCTTATTTTTTAAAGATTTTCTGTTTCAATCACCCCATATACACAAACGATGTTAATCATTTCTCTCTTCCGACTCCTTAAGTCATTTTATAGTTTTTACACGAACGCTACACCTAACTTTCTATAAATTTTTGTGGGGAAAAATATATATATATTTTTCTCCTTATCTATATTTTTTGGAGTATAAAAACAAGGGACACAAGGCGACACAAGGCTCGTGCCAAATTTGACCACTCTCCAAAATACGAACAACTACTTTTTCCCCACTATACGAGTCACATAATACGACTACGAATACCTACTAAGGGGGTCTTTTGTCCCTTTCTAATTTCACTTATTTCGGAAATCCATCGATTTTGGGAGGGAAAAACCTGTAATAGAAGGGCCCCCACACTGTCAAGTTTGAGCTCAGTTATCTCGACTCCTATAAGAGGTATCAAAAGTGTGTCAACTGACAAAATGTTTGTTATACTATGATAAACAATTTATCTGTCGACATATTTTTCATATCTTCAACAGGAACCGAGATAAAGTGATCCAAAGTTGGAGGCAGGCGATTTTTCGGAGTTTTTTGGAGTTAGGGTATGCATTCTGACGTACACACTTTTAAGACTTTCATCATCCACTGATATCTGACTTGTCCCTTTTAACTTTAAACTGGGGACCAATCATCAGCTCAAAATAAGTTTATCTGTTTTCTTTTATCCACTTGATAAACTGATGAACTGATAACTAATCCGAAATAGCCATGACGCACTTCCTCCCCCTCTCTCCGTGATGCAAAGTGATGAACATCATGCCCTTTTCTGCATAATCCAAGGACGTCGGGAAACCCTTTAATTGGGATATGTATATGGAATTGACCTTAGGAAAAAGCGGAAACGAGATGTGATTCTAAGTTATTGAATGTTTCAGAATGAACATCCAAGAAGACTTATCAAACTGGTTAACACTGAATATTAATTACAAACCATAAAATTCTCTATAGGACGTTGTAGTGTTAACTAATAGATGTGAGTCGATACCACATTTTTTTGGAGTTCTATACAAATTTCTCAGTGACGCACACCTATTCAGGTCGAGAGGGGGTGGAAAATCGGATAAACAAGAAATAATAGAGCCTCCTGATCCACCCAGAAACGTGACATAATGCATAATACCTAGAAATGAGTCTTCTATAATAGTCCAAAGTTGTGACTGCTTCTGATATGACTCTGAAATTATTCGTTAATGAAGTTTTAAAATTTTCGATGAATAGTAATGAACATCTATGTACCGTAGAACCGGTAATAAGAGGCCCCTAACTTTTAATTTTGAGCCAAATTTTCTCAGATCCTGTAGAAGATATATAAAATTTGTAAACTGATAAACTATTTATCATAATATCCCAAATATTTTACATGTTGACACATTTTTGATGCACAGGAGCCAAGAGAATTGAGCTCAAACTTGACAGCATATGGGTCCTTCTATTACCAAGAGAAACTGCCTTGGTGTGAGAACCTCTTAAAAGTTTGATTCCAAATGTACCCAATTTTATTTGATTGATCTGAAATTCTATGAAATTGAACTATACAGATCCTGATGTATGACTCTAATCTGGAACAACCAGAGATGTCCGGATTCCGTATTCGCGATTCCGTGATATTGTCATGCCGGATTCTGGATTCCGAGGAAATTATTTTATTCCAGATTCAGTCCCTCGAAAAAAATCATTCCGGACATCTCTGGGAACAACCGAATACTGTAAAACCTGTAATAGAAGGCACCCCACACTGTCAAGTTTCAGCTCACTTATCTCAATTCCTATGCAAGATGTCAAAAATGTGTCAAATGGCAAAACACTACTGATACCATGATAAAAAATTTATCAGTTAACAACTTCTTCATAACTTTCACAGGAACCGAAAAAATTGACTTAAAGAAGTAAGGAAAAAAACCTTTCCTATTGGTTTACGGTATGTGTTAGTCAAGTCTATTTGTCTCCATGTGCATACCAGCTCATTTTCCTAGTAACAATCAATACGTTTTTTTTTTCAAATCTCGCTCCTTTTTTTCTCCGTCACGTCATCCTCCCCCCATTTCTGTTTGGTCGTGTGCCCAATATTCTAGTCTCTCTACTCCATGCTCTCTACCCCTGGACCCACGTCAACATTCTCTCTTTCCCCTATCCATCCGTCCAGTATTTCTCTTTCTATCCTCGCAAGACGCCATCAAGAGAAGCAGAATAGAGGGGTACGTGTGTGTGCTCTATGAGCACCACGACGAAGACGAAAAGGACGACTACTTTTCTGAAGCCCCCCTCTTCTTTTTTCCCATTTTTCCATTCCATCCATCATCATTTTGTGTTGCTGTGCTGCATTTCCTTCATTTTCCCCCTACACCCGGGTTCTTCATTTTCCATTTTCATTATCCATCCCCATCCTTTTTCATGTGTGGAAACACTTGGATGCATGTGCATATATACACTTTTATACACTTCCAAACGAAATTGTTGTCACTTTAAAGGTGGGGAGACATGAAAAAAAAAAATGTTCTCAAAATGCCGTTTAAATATGCCCCTCGAGGAGTTGAACTTGTCGAGACTAGTATTGACGGTGCGGCGCCGCTACCGACTGAGCCACGCGGGCAAAGAGGCAGCCGGCGCCCGATTGCATTCATAAATGTGAGGACGACCGTTGTACGCAGAGTGACATTAAGCGTTGTACACCGTCACGGTAGAATGCATCCCTAGCTACAAAAATCTTACGAAAAATCTTCTGTCCCCCCACCTTTAACCAAGATTTTGGAATTCAAAAGTATAATTACGATATGGACAGCTGTAGTGGCTTAAATACAGACCAGAAATCCTTTAATAGAATGCCCCTCCCCCTCTCTCTCCACCTCAAACCGTCAACTTTGAGCCTATATATCTAATTTCCTGTATTAGATACAAAAAAGCGGTCAACTAAGAAAATTTTTAATATAACATGAAAAATATTTTGCCAGTTGATCACTTTTTGATATCTTCACCAGGAACTGAGATAAATTGGCTCAAAGTTTAACGTTAGAGGTGGCACAGTAAAAAAATCAACTGAACAAAAAACTACTAATTATCCAATTAAAATTCTTAGCGTTTTTGAAATTTTAATTTTTAATCTTTTATTTAATACTCTTTGAATCTGATTACTCTTTTAATTGTTTCAAATATTCAAAGATGCTCAGAAGGTAGTTCCTTAGTAGTTTCAATCTAATCTGGTTAATAGTTGAAATTATATTTTCATTTCATTTTATGAAAAAAATAATTTATCCAGTTCTAGAACAAAAACTGTTCATAATTAAACAAGAAAACTACTGTAAAAAGTTTTCCAAAATTCAATCCTCGAAAAAAAGAAGAATGAAATTCTAATTGCCGTTATTGGAGTGAAAAGAGAAGGAAAAAAGAGCAAAAAAGAAGAAAGCATTCGTTTTTTCTGATTTCGTGTAGTAGGAAAACGGAAAAGCTTTTGACATGACGTCATCTGACGAATTTAAAAAAAGGTGATATGAAGAAGATATTAACAAAATGTTGTTTTTGTGTTAGAGCAGATGCGCGGAATTCCTCCTTCTTGATTTTTCTGATTCTTCCAGCTGATTCGAACAATTATAATTTTGAATTTGAAATTTTGAAATTTATTTTCTCAGCCTTGGCTACTATTCGAAATTTTTCTTAATGAGTTCTTCTTCTATGTGTTGTATCAAAAAGTTTCGAAAATAATTCGATTTTTTACGAAATTGTGTTCCTTATTGCTTTTTCCTTTCTCCAGATTTTAAAAATTGTTTCTCTCTTGCTGCTTCCGTCTTCAGGTTTTTTTATTGTTTATTCCATTCCTTCTTCCTTCCTTATTCCTGATTCCAAATTTTCAAAATTTTTATTCCGCTCATCTCTCAGAAACAGTTTTCCTAAATACTTGGCACCCCAGCTGTTTTTGGCTCGACTAACTATTTTTCAATCAATATCTCTTCTAAATTGATTTACCAATTTACAGATCCGCATGATATGACTGGATTTCGTCTGGGTAGCAACAAAAAGGAGAAGCTGTCTCCAGGGACAGCCAAACCTTCTGCGCTGGTCGACGAGGTGAGTATCGTAAAACCTGTAATAGAAGGGCCCCCTAATTTTCAACTTTTAAGCCAATTTTCTAGGTTTCGGTCGAAGATATGAAAAAGTTGTCAACCGATAAGTTGTTTATCATAATAGCACAAACATTTTAACAATTGACACATTTTTGATATCCTTCATAGAAATCGAGATATATGAGCTCAAAGTTGAAAGTTGAAGGTGGCGTTGAAAGTTGAGGCTGACAGGTTTTACGGTAAATTACTGTAATACAATTATCAAATACTTCTAAATGCGTTCTAGCTCTAGTAAAGCATCTAAAATTGTTCCAGGTAAGCGCACCTCGCAACTTTGGAATCAAGAACTATCTCCATCAATTCTACGTAACTCCAACCGGTGATGACGTTGAAGGCGGAGCAATCGGTGGACCGATGAGCGGCGGAGCGTGGTACCTGTTGCCACCACCACCAGCTCAACGGAGAGGCCTTCTTCTTTGTCGAATCTTCACCATCATCGGATTGTTGTTCCTCATTGCTGGAGCAGTCACCATCTGCATTGGGTACACGTGGAAAGCTGAACGAAACATTGAGCAGTCCATCGAGCGTTTCGTTCTGTTCCAGGTAAGAGGAAACCTTGTTCAGAGTGATGGTAAACTATATTTTTACAACAAACTTACCATACTTCCTCTAATAGGAGCACATTCAAACCATCAACTATGAGCTCAATCATCTCGATTCCTGTGAAAGATATCGAACATCTGTCAACTGATAAAATATTGGCAGTATCAGGAAAAATAATTTATCAGTTGACAAAATTTTGATATCTTTCGCAGGAATCAAGGTAATTGAGATCAAATTTGACGGTTCGGATTCCTATTAGAGGAAATACGGTATGGGAGAACTCAACATCCCTAAAAGTTCTGTCAACTCTGTAAACTAACCACTAAGTTCCTACTTTACAGGATGAGAACGGAGGACTCTATGTGCCACGCGACAAGCTAGAGCTCATCCTTCAAGATCCAATGCGTTTGTGGAAGACTATTGGATTCGGATTGTTCACGTTGGGAAGTCTTCTTCTAGCCTTCTCACTGGCCATTCCGACCGCCGCTGCCATGGTTGGCACCACTCGTTTCGCCGCGTTCGCATCACCGGACAACTCTCCAAACGAGCCGCCCGTGAGAGTATTCCCGCACTCTTCCAATGTCACCGGAATGAGCAGGTTAGTTCAATAATCCTGTCTACGGTTCCGATCAATAAGATACCAAAGTATACAAAAGCGTATTCTTCAGTTGATTTTTGGTCATTGTGGCCATTTTTAAGAGTCTGGAGCTCGGCTGCCAAGTTTCTCTGATCACTTTGAAAGTTAAACCAAACAAAGGTAATTTTCAGAAATCGGAAAATAACTGAAAAAGTAGGAATTTTCAAAAAATTCTGTGAATGCAAAGTTTTCAATCTACCGTAACACCTGTAATAGAAAGGCCCCCACAATGTCTCGTTTGAGCCAATTTTCTTCGGCTCCTTTGCAAGATACCAAAAATTTGTTTACTGACAAAATGTTTATCATAAAATCAAAAATATTTTGTCAGTCGACTACTTTTTGATATCTTTAACGGGAATCGAGATAAATTGGCTCAAAGTTAAAAGTTAGATTTTTTTTCTTCTATTACAGGTTATACGGTAAGTCTGTTTTATACCCTCCAAAATTTTCAAAATAATGAGAAACTTGACAGCCGAGCTCTAGGCTTCTGAAAATGGTCAAAACGGCCAAAAATCAACTGGAAAGTAAGTTTTGTATATCTTATCGACCGATACAGGGCAAATATCAATGAGATCCTCTCACTATCAGAACCAATCAAAATTCAGATATTAACTAAAAATATAGGTTAGTGTTTCCGAGCTTGGAAATTTCTGAAATTACAGAGCTTCTGACCGTTGTGAGTTTCTGAATTAGAAATTTCTGAAACTCATAAAATCTAAGTTTCCAACTATTCCTGGACCCTTAGTTAAAAAGTACCAGAATAAAAGTGGTTTTTCGGGTACTGTAACCGGAGGCCAGGAGGTTCAGCCACGGAGGGGCGTAAACCGACTGGTCAGAACTGTTTTTATAAATATCGCTATTTTAAATTTTTCAGTGGCCCAGTTCCAGTAATGGAAGAAATCGCCAAAGTGCAGCCATCTGAGAAGAAGTCACCAACAGTTCCAGCCGACCTTCTCGACCAGGAAGTGCATTGAGAATTGTGTGTCTGAAAAGGATATTGATGTCCCCAAAGACCGAATTCTCCCGTTTAATCGTATGTTATCACTTATTCTGACACCCTAGAAAATCGAAAAAATCTTTAATATTTGCTCTCCATTTCTATCGATAACCATTCCGTTTCCCCCCAGCTGTTTGCTTCTATCTTTTAATTTTTTTCCACTTTATTCCTCTTTTCCGAACACACGCACTCACACACACAAAATGACGAGAGAGCACGAGAGACATTGAAGCTGTGAAATTCAAAAGATCCCAAGAATTTTGCTGTCTTCATAAATATTTTCCATCGTTTATTTTCCTCTCTACACACCACACACACAGAAACCACTCGGTGATGAAGAACACCCTGACCATTCGCCCCTTTTTCTTTGAAAATTGTCTTTTGTTTCAACATTTTTTGTGAGAAAATGTGAATAAAAGAATTGTGAATTAACTAATCGAAACTTGTCACTGTTATGGATACTGCAACGGACCCACAGGGTTGTAAATGGCCTGACCAGAAATCGGGCCTTTTTTATTTTGGCCAAGCCGCCGGTAAAGTTTTCCGATGTTAAAATTCGAAGGCCTTGGCCTAGAAAATTTCGGTTTCCGAATTTTTTGAGAAAATTGAAAGAACCGTGTGGCCAAACTTTCTCAATGATTTTTCTAGGCCACCGTAGCTGATGTTCCAGGAATGACATGCTCATGGTTTGTTATTTAGGTCACTTTGACGTAGTTGCCTAATTTTTGCAAGGAATTTTCTAGGCCACCATGTTAAAATGACCTGGAAATGACCTAATATGACCATGGTCCATTTTCTAGGCCATTTTGACGTGGCGGCCTAACTTTTGCAAGTTGAGTTTTCTAGGCCACCAACTTTTTTGGCTTAAAAAAAGTTTAGGCCATTTGTTTTGATGAATGCTGTTATCAATTGCATGAGAAACCTGGAAAAAATGTTCCCAAAAAGACATAAAGATTCAAACGAGTTTCATTTCGTTCCCAAATAAATTCCGTTAGATTACATAATTTTTTAAAACATTGATAGTAATTGGAATCAGATGCGACAAATAATAATTATAATAGCAATCATGAATGAGTTTTGAAAAAAGGATTAGCAGCTAATTGTAAAGGATAATACAGTGAAAATGTTCGGGGAACGGGAAAAGGAGAATTGACAAAATGGTTGTAGGGGGAAGAGAAGTATTGAGATTACATTTTTAGCCAGGATTTGAAATTTTCGGAAAATTGTATATTTCAAGAATGGAAAGGAAAACGGAGAAAAAACAAGAAGAAGATCATCAGGATTTAAGTATCAAGGAAATATTGGTGGTGGGCCTGGACGTTTGACTTCGTCGAGAAATATTGGAGATATTATTGCATGGTATGACTGAAGAAATTGATGGAATTCGCATGGATGACGGGCTACATGACGGGTCTGGTGTCGTGACATCAGTTGGCGTCGCTTAGTTCTGAAAAAATTAGGAGGATTAGGTGGTGAAACCGTTTTCGTGGCTGTTTTCAAGTACTACTTTTTATTCGCCGTAATGACTAGATCAGAATATTTAGTTCTGCCGTAAACTTCTAAAACAATGAATCTCAACTGTTTGCACTGCACCTTCAAGCTTTACTTGGTATTTCGCTCATAGAATGTCTGAACAGAAGATGAGAAGAACATGACAATAGTGTAAAACTTAGGGATTCAGAAGGTTGAAAGTAAAAATGAGCTTGAATGGACGGAAATATCAAACATGACCAATGAGAGAATAACAATAACTTATCAGCGATAACTGTATAAGAAATTCTAGATCGTTCGGATTTCCGAGAATAATGTATAGATTCAAAAATGAACTACGGAAATCCTAAAGATCGTGAGTTTAGAACTCTCGACTTGCAGAAAAAAGAAGTATGTCTTGATTCTGAGCAGTTCCTTCATTGAATTCTAGTCGTTTTCAGCTTCCAGAGACTAGTCAATATTAGTTAATCATATGGCTCATGCGAATTAGTTGCATCTTGAACTTTAGAATGTTTTCATCAATCAAAACATTTATTGATTGCCTAGAAGTATACGAAATCTAAAAAGAGAAAATTCGAAAATCCTAGGAGATGGATCGAAAGATTCGCTGAAAAGTCTAGTGCAGAAAAGTATTGCAGATTCTCATATTTTCCCGGAATCCAGAATACGGAATCTAGGCATCTCTAGAATACAGATCCATGCGAAGAAGATGATGAAGAAGGAAAAAAGCAAACTAAAAATATGCTGACGCCGAGAAAGAAAAAAAAAAGATTCCAGATTCACTGTCCCAAAAAAAGAAAGCACCGACACCAACTACCAATACAGCGTTACAACAAATATACCCATCACCAATACCTAACACCTAAGCCTACTGTTCCACCCATTAGAATCCTTACTTCAACTGAGGTCCGCATCGAAGTTTCACCACTTCCTCGTTGATTTCGAACCAACGGGAATCCGTGCGTGTCTTCCTCAATTTTTTTATTCGTTCTCTGTAAGAAGGCTGTCCCGTGCAGGAGGATGGAGTCGAGTCCTGCGTCAGATGACTATCATTGAAGATTCCCGTGTTCTTCACAGCTAACAGTGTATTCCCAATGTCTTCTAGCGATGGGGTGACCATCGGACCGCCACGCGTTGGCAATCGTGGTTTAGCAAACTGATGTTCTTGTGATCTTGAAGTTTGCTGTGAAAGAAAGTGACCGGAAGTCGTGGCGGAATCAGTTTGCTGGAAATCACTAGTGAACAACAGAAGAGACCTGAAAAGTCACGACAGAGAAAGACTGGGGAACAGTTAAGCGTAATGAGAAAGCCTGGTTAGTCAGTCTGGATCGAGCAGGGTCGTGTATTAGTCAGAATCCGATGGAAGGAAAAAAAATTAGCGAATTGTCTACCAAACCTCAAGGACCAAGAAAAAAAAAGAAAGATGCAGGCGGCTGACAGAAAGAATTAGAAAGAGGAAGAAAAACAGTGCACATATGTCTCTCAAAGCAGCAAATGTCAAAATATTGGAAAAATAAAACAGACACACAGACAGACAGTTCAGATATGTTGTGATAGGGGGGAACGATGGCACTTCAAAAAATTTCCTCCGAGAAAATTCGACACTGATGTTTCAGATACGATACCTTTGCCATCTTAGCAGATGGTTCTCCCACAGCTGATTGAGTGGCTGATCGCTTTCCTGTGGCCGCTGATGTCAATGTCTGAAATTTTGATGGTTTATATCGTTTGGATCACGACCAGAAGAACTTACATGTTGAAGATGTGTGATTCCTTTGTGGAATTCCGCCTCCGCAATCAGATTCCTCTTGTCACCGGCGGCGTTGTAGGCGGAGTTAAGGAGCGTTCGCTTGTCCATCATTATCACTGAAAATGAAGAATTACGAATACAGAACAAAGCATTTTTCTTCATTCTATCGCTGTTAAAAAAACTCACTCGCTCTGAGAATCTTCTCCTCATCGACTGACGTTTTCAAATTTCTTGTCAATTTTCGAACGTTGAACGCCGATTTTGGCAAGATTCGCCGCACTGCACGGCGACAAATGTTGGTATAGAAGAAGACGGTTGGCTTTGTTGCAGGTGTCACTTTTTTCTGGATCTGGAAAAAAACATGTCGAATTTGAAATTTTAGTTACTGAATGAAAACAAACTTTTTGAACAGCAGAATTTCCTGCTGCAGCCTGTTGGGCCAGCGCCTGTGCCCGCTGCAATTGTTCCATCTGCTGCTGCTGTTGCGCGGCCACCACCGAAATGGCAAAGTTCTTGTTCAACTGTATAAACTGTTCTTGGGTAATTTGACCGCGTGCCAACGCTTCCTTTGCTACCTTTAACAGACTTTGTTTGTCCGCTCCTAACGGATTATTTCCAGCTCTGGGAGTTTGAACGGTTGGGCGGGCAACTGACGGCGCAGCACCTGTTGTTGGCTTCTGCTGTTGCAGCACTGGAGGCCGATCCGATCCATTGGTTCCTAGCGCAGTCGGTTGATCGAGAACAGGTGGGCGCGTCTTATCGAATCGCTCGAGATCGTGCTTCTGGTCCAAGCCAGCGAACTTCTTCCATTTGATCCAACACGTTGAGCATAACACTTTCTTCTCAACACCTCCCCATTGATACCAGTTGATGCCATCCAACGTTCCACAGTTCTCGCATGGAATTTCGGATCGAACGAGATTCTGAGTTTGATTGTATGGTTGAACGGATGCGGCGATTGGTTTGTTGAATGGTGGGATGTAAATGTTGGTGAACTTCTCATCAGCCGATCCGCCATTTGGCTTTGCCTTCTTGCGATCCGTGTATCGATTCGACGCCTTCATAAGATAATAATACTCGACGATGTCGCGAATCGACTTCCACGGCAGATAATCCGCACGAATTTCGTTGAAATCCTTGCCACACTTGTCCAATGCATCTTCGAATAGATTCATTTCCGGAGTCGACCATTCCTCCAACTGATCTCTACACAGAATCGGACCTCCAAGAATCTTTGTTTGCAATCCTGTAGTCTGGTCCACTTCCAATGGATAGGATTCTTTTGATGCAATCGGGACCAGGTACTTGACGGCCTGTCCAACGTCATAGTGGGCTTGGTGAAGGATAGCATAGGCATGGAGAATAGTGACATCACGGGAAGCAAATGCGGCCGCCAATTGGAGAGTTGGGAGTTTGGGAGCAGACGCACCATCGATAGCCCTTGCGAACAAGCCAACGGATCTGGCCACAATCAGATATTGATCGATATCTCGGTCTGTGAGATTCTGATAAGGAGTCCAGACTAAAATTTCGCGGGATTTCGGTTCAGTGTCGTCCTCGTCCTCTGGTGTTTCTTCTTTCACAATAGCATCAGCCTTCGCTTCTGGCATTTCTTCGTCGTCTCCTTCATCAATTTTCAACCCATTCTCAATGTTATCATCTTCTTTTTCTTGTCTCAATCTTTCTGCTTCTTCTTCCTTCTTAACACGCTTCGCATGCTCCTTTGCCTCTTTCTCAGCCTGTTCCTTTGCTTCTCGTTCCTCAGGTTCCATCCAATCGTCGACTACAGCTTGGTACTTTTCTCCGACGCGGATGGCTCCTTTGTCAGCCAACAGCGTTTGTGCATTTGGGTCATACACCAGAGAATGGAAGAAAGTGTCGTCTTGCCCAATATAGTTTTCAGCCTCCTCACAGTCACCCAACAACACCACCCGACACTTTCCACGAATCAGTGTTGCTGGCAGTATTTCGGATTGCCGAGTCATGAAGATCTCATGTTGTCGGAGACGAAGGCGTTGATCCTTGGAGAGCTTATCAACTCCAAGCGGCAATCCACCATCTCCCCAATCGACAAGTTTTGTGGCTTCTGTTTCCGCTTTCTCCTTTAACGACGCGTCTTCTGAATCTATTGATGAACCTGTGCGTCCAGCGTTGATTCGTGCTGGCGCAACGCCTTCCTCTTGATCAATTTTCGGTGGACCATCGTCTTCAGGCTCTTCTTCATTTGCATCTTCTGGTGCGTCGGCGTTAGTGGCTGTGGTAGGTGCTCCGTTAGCGACGAGGAACCCCTTTGTGGTGAAATTCTCGGGCTTCTTCTTATCAACCTCATAGTCTGAAAATATTTTATTGTATTCAAAACAGATTTCTCGTCTTCAAGCTTACAATTATCAAATCGGCGTTGTGCTTGATCGGCAATCTTCAGAAGATGCTGTGGGATGTCGCGTCGCCGCATGTAGATGACGCATCGGGCGTCAACACTTCCTTTCTCTGTCTGAAAGGAATTAATTTATTAATTCGGTCTCTAAATTAAAGCAAACGTTACCTTGACAAGCTCATCAATCTTTCGAATCTGAAACGGCGCATCGGTGGCCACTGGATCGTCGAAATATACAAAGTCGCCGACAGCGTAGGTGACTTTCGTTGTTGATGAGCTTGCGACCGACGTTGTCATTTTGTAGTCGTGTTGAGATGAACGTTGATCAGTAGGGGCTTGTTGTTATGCAGAAACGACCCGTTAAATCTCTGAAAAAAGAAATCGAATGATTTTAAGAATACTGATGAAGAATAATGCGTAAAATAAATACTAGGTTCGCGAAATGGTATCAGCTTTTCATCTATTCAATTTTTAAAAAGACCGCAACTCTGAATTAAAGAAAAAAACGAGGAAACGAAGGAGCAAGATTAGCATAGAGCGTATTGGAAGTAAAGCAGCAGTTAGAGAGTCAGTCAGCTAAAGAACCCATCGAAAATAGTGTCGAGAGATGATGAGACGCAGAACGAACGTCCAGCATTAGCAGTCACAGCGCAGAGTGGGAGGGTGGGATCATTGAGAAAAAGGAGATGGGAGCGAGAGAACATTTGAAATGGAGAGACCGAGAGTTGATGGAAAAAAAGAAGGTGGAAGAAGACAGCAGCCGCAGTAACCACGGGGGCCATATTACGAGCAGAGTAATTGATTCGACGGATATTTAGATGTCTTGAATAATCGTGTGTACAAAGGATTCAAAAATAAATAACGGAAAGCGTTAGTTGGGGTGAGTGGGCCCTATCATTTGAAAAAAAAACAAATTCAGCCAAAAATGTGTAGTTTTCACTGATTTTCGCCAATTTCAGTACATCTTTTGCTGAATTTTTTTTTAGGATGGCCTCGTTTTCACTGGGACATCCGAAAAATGGCCCTAAATTCAAAAAATCTTGGATGAGTTTTCGGCTTCAAAGCAGTTTTTTTCTGAAATAACTTGAAGATGCATCGTTGGTCCTGAAGCGAAAAAGGTGATTTTTCAGAGAAAACGCATGTGCCTTTGATAGCGTATCTTGAAAATAATTTACTTTGACCCATTTTCAGGCTATTTTTTCACTTTATAAAAAATTTAGTTGATTATTCATAAGAATCGGAAGAAAATGAACAAAAAAGAAAAAAATTTTGAGGGGAATGGGCGAAAATAGAAAAATCACAGTTTTTTTTTCGAAAAACTGAAAATGAATGGTGCAAATCAGAAAAAAAACGTCGACATCTCCGAGCACAAAAATCGATAGTGGGACCATCTGCCAAACCGAAGATGGCCGTCGATATTCAAATTGTCAAGGAACACACTCGTACACTCACACGCTCATAACCTTATGTGTTTTGTGTGTGCGACAAAGGAAAAAAGGCGCTAGAGGGAGAAAGGGAGAGTT